CCTGAATCTTTATCGATACAGTTTTCATCTAATCGCTTCTCTAATCTATTTCCTCTAATATCTTTCCTCGACACGTGTCTCTGACCGGACAGCTGCGAGGAAAACTGCCGCGCTAAGGAAAAACATCGTTTGAGCCTTCAGTCGTTGCCGAGTTTCCTCCGGTAAAAATCGAATTTACTGGGAAAATTGAGAATATTATTTTGCAAATTTTTTAGACGATTTTTTTCGCAATTTAATCTAAAATACTTGAACATTTCACGGAAAAATATGCATGAATGTCGTCAAAAATGCACGTTTTATCGAAGGAAATTTGGCAACTCTTGAAGGTTCACACGGCGTTTTTCCTTGGTGCGGTAGAAAAGCGGATGATTGTTTCAAATTTGAGTGAATCGTTTGAATCGCATCAAGCAAAAAGTAACCTGGCCACATCAGCTATTGTCCAATTTAACTGAGCAATTTATAATTTTTACATGATAACGGTTGTTCAGATCTTTATGCAAATATCAGTGAATTTTCTGGATAGTATGAGGCAAATTCCTTAAAATTTTCAAAGGAAAACGCACACACGTTCTCCTGTAAAAAACGAAGTTGCCCAGTTTTTGGCAATAGATGATGTGGCTTGGTTCCTTTTTGTTAAACGCAGTCAATTTTGAAGGTTCATTTAACGCCATGTCAGTTTGTCTTAAATTTGCAGTGTAGGCAACACAAGCTCCCGCATGATCAAATAGTGGTATCATCGTGAAATGACACGCTCATTTGAGACGCACAAAATAAGAGCTCTTTACCAAACGGGAATAGGTTCATTTAGCGCCTTGTCAGTTTGCCTTCAATTCTTAATGTAGGCAACACAAGCTCCCGCAGGGTCGAATAGTGGTATCATCGTGAAATGACACGCTCATTTGAGACGCAAAAAATAAGAGCTCTTTACCAAACGGAAAGAGGGTCATTTAGCGCCTTGTCAGTTTGCCTTCAATTCTTAAAGTAGGCAACACAAGCTCCTGCGTGGTTGAATAGTGGTATCATCTCGTCCGTTTGTTTTTACAAGATGCTCCTACTGGCGGTGAGGTACCGTTTAGGTTTTTGTGTTGATTAAGTGGGCAGCTTTTTTAATCTTCATTTTATTTTATTTTATTTCTTCTTAATGTTTGTCGGATGTGAGAGGAAGAACAAAGTTATGTGAGACAAAAGGAAGACGAAGAAAATTAAAAACAGAATTTACGTTAAAGATGCGGGAACAAAGATGGTCTCATCAGGCGGAGGAAATTGGGACGATCGTTTCAATGGGCCTCTGAAAGGGCCAAAGCACAGAGGAGGAGAAGGGGAAGGAAGAAAGACGCCCCACGCTTAAAGACAGGTGGCTCTTTCCCAGCTACACTCCAGGAATTCCCTTTATACGCCGTGAGCGTGTAATACCTGTAAACGTATGCATTTGTTTTTAGCTGGGTAATCCTATCATGTGCACATGAAAGCATGCATAATACACAACGACGTAAGCTACAATGCTCGCAAGTCTTCCCCCCCCCCTTCGCTCCGCGTGGTCCCCATAATTCCCTTCAAACATTTTCACTTCGACTACACTTTAGTACTTAGATAGTTTCGCACTACTGTATCAGAAAAAGAATTCACTTTTCTGATCTCGAGAAGCTAGGCTCCTATAGACTCATATTGTTCCGTAGACATTTAAGAGAAAGACCGAAGGACGTGTGAGATTTTAAAATTTGATGAATCGATTATATAAATTTAGTCGATCCAATAATCCTATTCAAAGTTTATCGATCACTGGGTGTGAACTAAACGCATAACGGAAATTACTTCCTTACATTGCAGAACTTCATGGTGCCGCCCTTCCTCTCAGTGTTTCTGTCGATCGTTGGGTTCCTTTCTTTTAAATTTATTTGAAGCCATGTTTACCTATCGAATCTGCCTCATAGCGAATCGTTTGAGTTCTAAATCTTCTCAAAAACTACAATGACGTTTCTTGTTTCTGGATACATCAACCCAGGTTGTATATCCTTCACACGTCGCAAATAGTTTTGTAAAATCATTCTGTATGAAAAATCCAACGTGACCACATTTCAAGCTTTTGTAAGCTACGATTCTTGCGGTCCCACGTTAATATCCCTCTGTCAATGAAATACGGTTCATAATCGGAGTGAACCTCCACAATGAGTTGATAAATAATCCAGTCTCTATAGAAATAAATTAACAAATTATTTTCATGTTGACAATGTTAAATACAAATCCAGTCCAGTCATTTCATAGTCGGTTTGCATGAATCTGCAACCCTTCTTCTCAGGGGAAGAACGCACAGAGACCTACACAGAGAGAAATTCCAAGACAGAAGTTTGGTTAATACATTAAGTAAAACACAAAATAACCCTAGCCTTTGGTTTACAATTTCAGAATAAAATTTCAGCTAGTTTTCGTGAAGAAATTGAATGAAAAACGAGTGGTGAATACGAACGTCGCAATCGGAGGAATACATCTTCCCAGTCTCTCCATTGTTCTCTGCGTTAAATTCACCGCAAACCGTACCAGAATCAACACAAAATTTGTGTTGGTTTGTGCTTCACCCCCTATATTAACCAAAAGTAACACAAGAACACAAATATTTTTTTCAGTAAGCTTGCCTTTTCTTAAAGACAATAAGCAGGCCTTATCAAAATTTGCGAAGTTTTTGGCAATCGGCACTCGCAAGCTAGAGACCCAGCCTCAGCTGCAGAATTTGTGATAATGCAACATGACATTTGACACAAATGTAGAATCTTTGAGCACGCTCGCGTTCAATAAGAACTCATCCTTGCAAAGAAATTAATTTCGTTTTCTGTGGACTAACTTCTTAAATGTGGTAATAAATTACTACAGCTACATTCATTAATCATTTAAAAGAGAGACGGGCGGAAGGGAAAGGATGTAAGTGAGGCGGTGAAGGGGAAATATTATAATCAGAATGGAATAAAAATGAATGGGAATGCTTCTTCTTCTTCTCCTCAATTTTCCCTTCCTTTTCCTCAAAACACTTTGTGTCTTGTCATTTGGTTACGATTTATGTCACAGCAACGACAGTATTGATTAATTAAGCGAGCGGAATCAAAATTTTAGATTTCCCTTATTTTACACGGAGTCTCGCTGCAGGAACGATCGCCGGCGAGCGTCCTGCAGCTTTCGTACTTTGTTATTACCGATAAAAGCTTGTAAAACTCCGAACTGGTTCGCGAGAGAAAATAAACCGCGAGGTGAAAAAGGGGAGCGAACTAATACAAATCGGAATCTGAGCGGAACCGCGCATTCTCACAAATTAAAAACTTTTCTGAGCCGCCGTAATTTTTGCTCGAGTCCTAAGAATATTAAAATGGTCTCTCACGGTGACATTTGGGAAAAATGTCCCTCCTTTTTTTCATTCCCGGGGCTTTAATTTGGAGCCATTCTAAAATGTTTCCTCTTGTTCATAATATTCGTTCGCAAGATTCGTCCATCAATCAGCAACTTTACATGAACGAAAGTTTGTTTCGTCTGCAGAGATCTCGCTCGTCTGAATGCGTTTAGCTATAATTTTTTAGATGGTGCCGCCGAAGGCCGGGGAGGGGAGGGGCTCGAGGCGATGGCAAAGCTCGTTCCCCTGAAACCCATTAACAAGAATGTGAAGCTTTCGGGAAGTTTGTGCTTTTTCCACGGCGGAAAGTTAAATTTGAAATCAGCACTTTCATAAATACCCTCTAACTTAGTGAAACTTTGTGAAGCGTTTCTTTGATGATTTTGACGAGGCCAACCCGTGTTTATGATATCATTCACCCTCGGAGAAGTTTCTTTGCAAGCATACTGTTAAAAATGCATCTTTGACTCAAACCATCCTCAATTTGGGAACTGGGTCGCGCCCTGACGACAGAGTCGAGCCGCGGCGAGAATGGTGGGAAAGTTAAGTGTCAATTGACCGAGAATGTGCGTCGCTTGACTCGAAAATGAGTCTATTGACTTTAACTTTACTCTTCTGCATCGTGTGTGAAAAGTGAACTGTTGTAAACACCTCAATGGCGGCGTTTGCGTATTTCATGGGTCGTTTGACTTCATCGAGTAGTCACTCGACACTTGGCATGTGTCGCATTTAAACTTTTCTATTAATACATTTTGCAACGATAAAATAAAGCTATGAACAAAATAAAACAGTAGATAAGGAAGAATGTAAAAAAGTCACTGAGGGTAGCAGGAGGAATGCAAATTTTTGTAAAACTGCGATCCTCTTTTCATTTTATAATCCACTGATGTTAAGCATCTTTCAAGTCCATCGGTATCCTCCAAGTCTCCGTCGGTGTGCCGGTCGTAAGTGTAGGCAAGAAGCTCTAAGAATTCTCTCGCGGACACCGTTTACATTGACACCTCTTATACCTTGCCAACTTGCCGAGTAGTGCAATTGCAGGTCACCCATGAGCACCAGGGTTCGTTGTAATTTAACCGTGGGTGAATGCCGTTTTTCAGTCTTGGTAGGTTGAGCTGAAGACGTAGTGCTCCATATTTAGCTACTACTTCTCTTTTTAGCCTGTAATAAAGAAGAAAACTAACGGTTATCGAGTATTGAAATGCGTCAGCCTGACCTAGCGTAAATCTAAGTCCTAAAAGTAATGCATAGTAAAGGATACTATGCTATGTTTCAATATAACCCTAAACACGGAAACCAAAATACGTTTTTTGCTTGGTATACTATCCTTATGACCAGGACTTTAATTCATTCCTTCCCAATACTGCTTCTTTTCATACGTATAACTGCATTTTATTTTTAATGCCAAAATTTCTTTCCGAGCACTCCCTGTTCTGAATCTATTTTACTAATGCTCGTTTTCTCTTTAGAGGAAAATTCGTATAAATGCCTAATTTAGATGGATGATTTCATTAAATTTCTTATATATCGTTCTGTACCTTGAGCTTAACGTCCAGGATTTTATACCGTTCTTTCGTTTTTTTTTTTTTTTTTTTTTTTTTTTTTTTTTTTTTTTTTTTTTTTTCAGATTGATCCCAAAGTAGCGTTTCCTAGGAGAGCACACCCAAAGGTAAGCTTGCACTAAATAAATTTCCGCTTTATAAGGCTAGTCCCTTATTAAAAGGCCACTGAAGAAGACCTGAACTAGAAAAAAAGGCGCATGTTTTCTCCTCAAAACCAACCTAATTCGTAGAAAACGATTCACCCAACAGGACGTTTGGAAATCAACTCCTGAACGAGATTTTAAAAAGTATTTTCAACAAAAATCAAATAGAAGTCAGATTATACTTATTATGTAATTTGTATTTCTCCGATAATAATTTCCAACACTCATGTCTTGCTTAGGAGCTGATCTGCAGAATTCTTGTTGTATCATTCGGTTTCCTTGGGAAATTTTGAAGAGGGTGCATGCTTTGCAGGGCTTTCATATAACATGTCCAGTGGCCTATTGTTTTAGCCATTTTTATTGTGTATTTGTGTAGTCGCGATTTGGCGAGTGGGTCCATGACAGTGACAATTTTGCAAGTTGGCAACGCTGTTGTTCCTCCTTCTAAATCTATTCAAAATATTGATTTTAAGTAGGCAAGCTGTCTGACCAAGAATCGATTTTTTTTCTTACATTTAAATAGAGGAGAAACAGTTTTGCCAACTTTCCAACTTCCACTGATCCACAAATGTTTCCATCCACACTAATGGATGCGTTTCAGGTTTTGCTTATTGCTGCATGGCGAACATCGAATTTCTGACCGGCACAGCAATTAATGATATTCGCCGAACATAAAAATGATTAGAGGAAACACATCACCCGCAAACATTCTCACCATAAACAGCGATAGGCTGTACTGCCGCGCTTAGCAAGAACGCCGTAAATCCATCAGGATTTTTCCTCGTTTTTTAGAACTTCACACTTCATAAAATAAATACTGTTCTACCCATGCACCTCAAATATTCAGGTTAAGTTCTTGATAGTATTTGCGAAAGAAGTCTGTAAAAACATTGTCCCAAGGCACACAAGTTTTTCTGCTATGATATAATGTTTCCAAAAAATATAAAATGGGGTTTAAGGTGTTTTTGCATTGCACGGCAGTATAGCCAACGTTTCACATTTTATTCAGTAAACTGAATAAAACGTGAAACATTTGGCTAGTGGTGAGGATAATGTCTGGAAATGTCGACCAGGAAAGGTGAACTAGTTGGTTGAGTAAAGTTCGGCGAACGCCGCGCAGTGTGGAGCCGGCTTAAAGTTCGTCGTTGAGACGAATAAGCGCTAGCGAGGGGGCAGGGGTGTTCAAAAGTTGAATTGACATTTATAGAACCTGACCGAAAATGCAGCTCAATATCTCAATTTTTGCCGTCCAATTTTCCAAGCTCGTCCCCGACCCGACTCGCATAATTCGAAGTGAAACTCGGTGCTTTTTTAAAGTTCTCTCCTGCGTCGTGGAAACTCGGTTATTTTTTTCAGGAAATCCGGCAGCCGAGCTGGCACCACTTCTCAGCTCCAGATCGGTGCCCCCGCACCCCTATATTCACTCGGTCCCCTCTTTCTCTCGCGACCCCTTCTTTTGTCACCCTAATTTATCTACCTCCGAAACTTTCTCATTTATTAATTTCATCGTGACTTCCGCCTTTTATTCGCGATTTCTTCTCCGGATTCACGGTCTCTCTCGATAAATTTCAAGTGTTTCCAAATGCCAGCCAGTCGTGGCCTCCCCATCAATTCGGAATTTGTTGTTCGATTTTTTCAAATGTTTCAAATTCACTCTAAAGCTTTTAAGAATCAAGGTTACTTAGGAAAGTTACGAGATCGAGGAAACGCACAGAAAATGAAGGAAACATTCCATCCGGAATGTCCTTAAAGAAATCTAATTGTAAGTATAGAATCTAAAAGTCCCTCGTGATAATGTGTTTCTGTCTTTTTCGATGGGTAGAAGTCATTCCTATTTTTAAACATTGAAATAGTAATCCAAAAGAAAGAAAAAAAACGGGGACGAAAATGTTGAAGGACTTTTGTGCTGCTGTTATAAAAGTTAAGTTTTAGTTTAAAACTGAACCACATCTAGCCACCGCAATTTGCCTCTCCTTTCTTTTTGGAGAACCAGTTCCTTCGTGGATTCCAAATACGCGGCCAAATGAAGCAGCTAACAGTACAGGTTATTCAAGAAATATGTTTTTAACTGTCGCTGTATGGCGGTTTTGACTTCGATGATGTGCGCGTCGGTGTCAAACAGGTTTGGGATTAAGCTTCGTGCTTCATATTTCTCACTTTTTAACGCGGGAGTTTAATTGCAAGTGCCACAATGCATCGCTCCTCCGGCGTAAAGGCGTATCCTGATTTTCACGTGAGCCCCAGAATGCATGAATTTATACGTAAAACAGGGCTCACTTGGAAATTGAGATACGCGTGACCTCTACGCTGCCGTGCTAAGGTAAGACGCCGTATGAGCATTCGAATATGCCAAATTTCCTCTCAGAAAATATATATTTTTGAAGAAAATTATGAATATTTTTTCTTGAAATTTTCAGACTTTTTAGATGCAATTTCGAACAAAATCCTCCGAAAAATCGGAGGAGAAATATTCACAAACTTTCCGGGAAATACGTTGTTTTTCGGAGAAGATTTGGCAACGCCTGATGTCTTATAAGGCGTTATCTTCCTTAGCACGGCATTACGGTTTGCAGAGTCTGGTTCCAATCGTCCATAGTGCATTTGCTGTGGACGAATTCTGGATATGCTTTTTGAATTCCTAAATTAATCCAGATTTTTTTGTTGCATCCTCCGGAATATTCTCTGCGAATAATATAATAATATATCTAATAATGTATTTCTTGGTGTAAAGTAAAATTGCGGTGATGGGGTATTTTTTTAAACACGGCAAAGCAGGTACATGTGCCTCTGGTTTTACCATCAATATGCAACTAGACGATCTATCCTCGTGCCGTATGAGTCAGAAACATTCTGTGTTTCGATAGCTTCCCATAATCTGTTCAGTTCTTGACGCGCCTTTTATTAAATCATACAGCTTGTGGTGAGTGAGGACATACCAACGCAGAACAATACTTCAAACTCTGAATTGACTATCGATAGATCTTAGATTTTTCAAAACTCTGAGATCGCAGGTAAATTGCTTTGAATCCCGATTCTGGACACATTTGAAGTATTGAAATCAAACAGACCACATCCGAATGCATCGCAACTAAACGGGATTATCAGGATATTTTTGAATCGATCGGGATGAATTTGGAATTATTTTGAAAATATTCCACTAATCAGGATCAGCTCAAGTAGCTAAGTAGTGGGATGGCTCTGAATAGTGCTCTAGGTAAATTGAAATAAACCGAACAAAATAGGCAATATCGTTGGCTGGTGTAATCAGTACAGCTATCAGAATGATTTGGCCCACTGCGGGACTTATTGGTATGTATATCCGGAAATTCGGATATAAATCGAAATAAGTTGAAAATTCCATTGTAAATTAGAAAAATTCGGTCAGCATCGAGGTGAGTCTGAATCCCTTTATAAATCCTGAAATTTCATCCGGTATAATTAGGTTTTGGAAATATTCACGTTTATCTCGCTTCATAATTTTTGACGGAGCCAACAAACAATGCGGGAACCCAGCAGCACATGTCGTCCTCCTGAGGTTCATCCTTCAATTTGGCTGCATAGGCAACAAACTTACCGAGGAGCACGGCCAGTCTACTCGAAAAACTTCAGTTATCCTGTCGCATGATTTGTGTGTATCATTGAACAATACGTAACTCTGTTTCTAGATATTGAGTTCGCCTTCAACAACAACGCATAGGCAAAAAATCTACCACCAGGGAGCGCAATACACCTTTAGTTTTTCTCACATTTTTCATTCCCTTAGCAACTTTTGGAGGAGTCGAAGCTCGGTTTTATTTTCAAAGTAGCAAAATGATTACCAATTATAAATGACAACTTTAAGAGTGAATCATACGCACTTGAATCTCCCAATTCAGGCAAATTATTTGAAGCATATTTTATCTTTTTTATCGTCTAGGCAAATACATTTTTTTATGTTACAACCAACGAACATACGTAAACTGTTCAAGTGCTTTGATTTGCCTTTCGAAGTGTAATTTTACCTTTTTAACTAGCAAATTGCAATCTAAAAATTATCCTCTCGTATAACGAACGAATTCTTGCGATCGTGGTTTTTTTTAAACGTGGATCGTGGTTTTCATGTAAAAATAAAAAAAAACTTAGTTTTCTTTCCCCTATCTCATTTTTTCTGCTCCCTGCACTCTCAGCTTTTTCTCTACGCTGTAAGGATTTTTAAGCGATGAATCATAATTTAAATTATTGATAGGTGGTAGAGGAAGATGATTCGAAGTCTTAACATATTACGTAGTGTCTCGCGCACTCATTATCACAGTATAAAAAGAGACCACCATCCTTATGCACATATTGTATTCATGATCTGGCCTCTCGCTCGCGGGCCGTGAAAACCTTTTGTTTTTACACAATGCATTTCGCGTAAGCAAAAAGTAAACGAAGATCTGTGCGAGTAGTTTTTTCCAGTCTCAAACAGAATTTAGATTGACTACTCTCGGAAACAACCGTCCAAAACATCTCATGATACCGCACTACCTTATTAAAAAAAGAAAGAAGTGCCTTCAAATCCCGGATGCTATTTTTTCCCGGCTTAAGTGCAATTCTGCAGGACACTTTCCCCCCTTTTTGTAATAATCTCCCTGCAACAATCTAGCGGAAGCAACCGGAGTGGCTACGGCCGTGGAGTTCAAACCGAATTAAAACTCTGCCTTCTTTTAACAAATTGAATTCATTTTCTCATCATTTTCACCGACTCTCGGAGTCCCTCTCGCTTCTTTCCCTCTTCCTTGCTTTCATTCAGCAATCTGAGAATTAAATATTTCCTAGGGATACTTTTTAGTGATGCAATTATCTAGTCGGCGTTTCGGGACACAACCCTTATCTCCGCATGACAGCTTTTGACTCAACGAAACGTCGAAGAGTTTCTTCTCTTTAACGAACGCCCAGAAACATTTGAACTTGCACAAATTCACACCGTTTTTCCCCGGCGCGGA